AACCCTTTTGCAAGCCTGTACAGTCCATCTATGATATTTTATTTGGCAGGTATTTAATGCTATGAATTTGTATGATCTCGGATGTTCTGCAGGTGGTGGTGCAGACAGTGTTCAAGTTTTTACTGATGTTGGTCTAGCCTTTTTATCAGATACAATTAAATCCAAAGTTCGAGAAGGTAAGTGCAATCTGCCCTTTACTTTAGATGTTTGTACAAGACCACTATAAATCTGAGGAGGCTGATGATTGCTTAAAAACCAGAAACATTTTGTCATGACGTCATAAAAATCACCATTGTGTGTGGATTTTTCTTCTTCTCTTCTTCCACTGGGTGCTGGCAGCTCAGACAGCCCAGATCGTGGCTGCTGGGCCTTTGGTGTCCAGCTCAGCTGGGGCAGCCAGCAGCTGGCTGGGGCTGTAAGGTAGCTCATCAAACTGTGGATCTTCTGTGAATGAGATGGGTCCTAAGATGAGTCTTCCATGAATGACCTGAATGGTCAGACTGTTACTGTCATAGTATCATGACCAAGCTCTTCCGTTCTGCTTTCCCAGGCTATAAATGCCTCCACGTTCCCAGAAGGCAGAAGAGATCTTTGGATTTTCACAAGAAAATGTCAGGAATTGGTACGTCTGCTCATCTGGGTGACCTGAAAGACTTAGCAGGGGGGACGCAAAGGGATGTGGCTGGGACCTAGGGTGCAAGAAGTGATGGGATAGTAAAGGATACCAAGATATTCATAGTCCCTGTTCTTGCGTTAGGCGACATAACCTAGCACAAGTGTGTATGCTATGCCTTGCGACTTGATGCATCATTTATCAAAACAACTCAAAAAACAAAATCAAAGAGTGAGTCAGCTGCAAATGGAAACTAGTTCACCAGTTTATAATCCCAAATGTGAAGTACTTCTACTAGATATTATGTCATGGCATATTATCAGATATTATCAGTCATGGCTTTAAAGTTTTTCAAAATTATTTGTATGGCCAGAAAATATTTTATAGATTCTATTGTTTTTCTTGACATTCTGCTTTGAGGTTGTGCTAGCTTTGGTACTTTGTGCTCCAATTAAGAGAAAAGCTAGTAAAACGTTTAGTCTAAATTTTAAAAAAAAAAAAAAAAGTTTTTACACAAGTTGATATTTCCTTGCCAGAAGACAGGAAGATTCCCACTTCAAGCCTTTATTACTTTTGAAATCAGCCTCTTTATTCAAGAATGAGAGCACTGCCATGGCTATTTCTATTAAGATATCTAATTCCAGTCTGCCAAGGAGGTGTTTTTAATTTACAGTCTGAATTTGAAGAGAAAGCTTAGAATAGAGTATCTAGGATGCCATAGGGCCCATGCTTTCCTCCCGTGTTTTTGGACTGGTTTTAGGATGGAGAGCAGGTTCCTGGCTGAAGGCAGACTGCTGCAATAGCAGGTAACGTTAACTGCAAAGAATAACAGAAAAGAGCACGATAAACACCTTTACACTTATTACTACTTCCACCGCACTAATTCTGGGCTTTAATTATATTGCAGCCAGCAAGTATCAAAACACTGATCTACAAAAATGCTGTGAAGATGGAATGAAACTAAATCCCATGAGATTTTCTTGTGCAAAAAGGCTAACAAAGGTTGCCGGCTCCCCTGAATGCAAAAATGCCTTCCAGGACTGCTGTGAGAAAGCCACAGCCCTCAGAAAGGAGGCGAAGCGGAGGACCAGAGTGGGCTTGGCACGATGTAAAGAACAGTGGCATGCACCTGTCTACAGAAAAACACCCTTCATGTGGTGGCAAGGGAGTGTTAAGGGACATTTAATGCTGTGGGGCTGGGGAGGAAGTTTTCACACCAACATTTCAGTGAGCCCCAGTATAGTGCAGCACCCACATGCTATTGCATCTTCACAACTGTACGTTGTGAAGGTGGGAATGGGACAGGATAACTTTGTGGGGTGAGAAAAGACAGGAATTGCTTTAGGCACTGTTGGCCCCAAAACAACCTTATGGAGGAGCTGTTGGCCCCTGCCCGCACCCCGGGAGGCTGCAAACAGTGGAGCAGAGAAGGGGGTGGTTGTCTGCATTGAGGGCTCTGAGGGATCTCAGGTTTGTGATAATGGTTGGACTTGATGATATTTGAGGTCTCTTCCAACCATACCGATTCTATGGTTCTATGTTTCATGAGTATTTTATTAGTGGTAGTACTGTTACAACACCCGAATACCTCCAAAACACTGCCTCATGAGAAGGGGCCACTTCAGCCAGGGACAATTTTTTCCTTTTTCTTACTTTCTTCTCCCCAAAGTCTATCTCTGATCACACAGGAACTCATGTTACAAAAAAAAAATATTTTGTGTTGAAAATGACCCCATTCTAAGTGTGATTTCTGCTACCATTTTCTCAGAGCTCTGCTTTCATGCTCTGTCTGTTACAAATATGGGACGGTAGGAACATCTTTGCTACGCATTACGAAAGGGAAATGTTTTCTTGTTTGGTGGCATATAGTTATTGAACTTGGAAAGAAGAATTATCCTTTTGTTCAATGACAATCTTTGGTCATTGCTTCTTTTTTTTCGGCATTTTTTTCTAATGCACAAGATGAAACCCAGGTGAAGTCTTTTCATTCAGAGTATTTTCCATGCTGCTTTCTCTCTGACAAGACAGTGTAAGGTCAGCACCCAAAGACTTCAGAACAGAAACCACACTCTTGTTTTACAGACTATGATGACCATGAAGAAGTGTTTGATGAAACCTCTGTCAACTTGCGCAGTTATTTTCCTGAGAGCTGGTGGTGGAATTTTGAAGAAGTGAGAAACCCTGGAAACCATAGGTACTGTATTACCTGACTAGGTGAATATATCTAAATTGGTACAATCAAATGTATATAAATATCAGCTTTATGTGTTATCTCATACAGAGGACTTCAAAATATTTGCAAGTACTTTGTCTCCACAACTGAGGGAGTATTTTTTTCCCTTACAGTACTCAAACTTCAGAAAATGGCAATGTTTACATTTTATACATCCTTCCTAATACATTTTATTTTGTGTTTCTTAGTGTAGAAAACTTTGCTCCTGACTCTATAACTACCTGGGAAGTTCAGGCAATAAGCATATCTCCCCAAAAAGGTATAAGTATTGGGTATTTTACTGGGTTTCTTTGTATGGATGAATAGAGAACGCATTTTTTTAGAACAGAGATATGATGTTATGTTGACAGAGTGAGACAGTCAGTACTACAAAACGCAAAGTGTTTCCATCATGACATTTACTCCTCTCTCTCATGCCATATTAAAGCCCAGCTAGAATTCAAGGGATAGGTATATATTTGTAAAAACAACACGAAGTGGGCTCTGAAGGGGGATGGATTATACAATCAAAACTGTCTCTTATTCTTTCCAATCTATAAATCATCTCATTTCATCTTCCACATGGCCAGGGAGCCACAAGAAAGGTAGCAGTAATAACATCACTTCTATTGGAATATTTCTGGGAGTGAGTTCTGGCCATCTCAGAGAAATGCGAAAGTCTGTGGTCTCTGGAAAGCCAGAGAAGAGAAGAGCACCAGGAGACTAGCAGAGGATCAGCAAGGGCTGGACACCAGAGCCCGGGTTCCCAGGTGCTGTTGTCTGGGAGCTCCTGGGGGTTGACCAGGACCATGAAGGAGGGACAAAGTGTCCACCTGGTACTGCCCAGGCAGTGAGTTTTGATTAGACCTTTAGCTTTTTATCAGCTGATGTTAAGTGTGTAATTCTCAACTCTGTTTTTTTTCTCAACCCAGGATTTTGCATAGCTGACCCCCACACCTTTGCAGTTTTCAAAGACTTTTTTGTATCCCTGAGATTACCATACTCAGTCAGACGACATGAACAACTAGAAATAAAAGCAGTGGTTTACAACTATCTGCCCAACGATCTCCAGGTAGTATTGCCACCGACTGCTGTGCTACACACATCCAGCTAGCTAGATGTATAGCTATGTAATAATTTAATGTAAACGACTCAGCCACCTTTCAGTGCCCTCCTACAGCCCAGACATCATGCTCCCATTCTGAGTCTCTCCAAGGACAGGATCCAGTTCTACTTGCTAATCAAACTTACTGTACAAAACAGATTTTATTTACTATATTACACAGTGAAATTCCTTGTCTTTGGGTATGTCTTCTTCCCCTTCATTGAAGCAACCAGCTACTTTTTTGCTGCCTGTCAATCTGCGCAACACACAGCTGCTGATAAAGCAGGCACACAAGATACAGAGGTAAATTATTAGCACACAATCCAATATCTTAGCCATAAAATTTATTGTGCATACAATACAAAGCCACTTTTTGTCCGCATGTGACACCTATTCAGCTCTGCATATAGCTACGGTTGTCACTGGGCTTAGTCCTCCATCATCCTCAGGCTGATGCTCTTTTTTTCATCTCTTCCCATCTCTTAGTCAGCTCTGCTTGACCAGCATCTTCTGAACTATGTTGAATGATGTAGAGCTGGGATATATAAAAATGTACCATCTTTCTTGCTTCCTTGTGTTTCAGGGATAGGCCAAAACTATACTGCAAATTCAGTGTAATGAAGAAATAATAGCTGATTTACCTTCATAGCTTCAATCAAAGTAGATGAAGGTTAACAGACCACAGGGTCATAGAACAATTGAGGTTGGAAGGGATCTCCAGAGGTTTCCAGATCTCAGAGCGGGTCCAGTTAGAGCAAGTTGTTTAGGGCCTTGTCCAGTCAGATATTTAATATCTCCAAGGAGGAAGACTCCACAAACTCCTTGGACAAGCTATGCTAGCATTTGATCACCTCTTGGCAAAAAAGTTTTCCCATTTTATAAATGGAGAATAGTAAATTCAGGGGAGTGAAGTGAAGAACACACTCTGCCTTGCAAAATGTCTACATTGCTATTTCCATCTTAAGCAAAAGCTAGTCTCCTGTTACACCTGTCTCTAATTTCCCATTCTTATCTAGATATGGTGGAGCTGGAGTATTTCTCCTGTGCAGTGATGCACTAAGCCTGATTGCAGGCATTGCCATGTCCCCACAGGTTACGGTGATGATGGATGCAGTGAAGGGGCTGTGCACCGCAGAGGCGATGGAGAAGCCTGTGCAGCTGGCGCTGGTGGCAAAGGGGAACTCTGCAACACCAGCCTACTTCTCAGTTGTCCCTCTGACTGTGGGAGAAATTCCCATTACTATTACTGCTTTCGACACAGTTTCTGGGCACAGTGATAGCATTAGGAAGAACCTCAATGTTGTGGTAGGTATAACTAGTTGAGGGAAGGCACTTCATGAATATGTGTTTGTCCTCAAATATAACATTCACTGTGTGTGGAGCTCTTGTGGAGGGAGTGAAATTGTAGAAACATAAGGCTGGAAGCAATCTCGGGGAAACCTGGTTCTTAGCGAGGACTGAGCTATCGCATGGGGAAGAAATTTAACTCTCTGGTGGGCCTGTGTGTAGTGTATATGGAAAGAATTGTTCTCTATGGGAAAAAGGCATCCTTCTACCCATGGCGTAGCAATAACTTCCTTCATGCAGTCAGTGCCCAGCTTGTAATCTTTAACTTCCACCTACTTCATCAACATTTTAAAAAATTCTTTTTCCTTTATGAAGCCAAGATTGAAGATGTCTATTCAGCAATATTTTGAGAAGGAAATACTCTCTGCTAGTCATAAAGTTAAACTTTATTTTATTCCTTCTAGTTAATGGATCTTCAGTCTTAACAATTGCATAGGTAAAACACAGGCAAACAAAGATGTTGTATTGGTCATTTAATACCTTAGTACTCTTTCAAAATTATGAAAAGGAGGAGCCTTTTAGAAAAAATGACTTTTCAAGAGTCAACACTGACAGGTACAGACTCATTACAGCATCCAAGTCGCCAACTGAGGGCTATTTTCAATCCACACAAAAAAATGTAAAATACAAATTCTAGCACTATTACTGTCAGGGAACAGACATGTAGGTAAACATATGGCATGGGATGCTGGGAACGTGCTGTTGTTACAGGTCATAACTTTTCTAGAGATAGACACAGTCTCAGAGTTCAATGCTACGCCAAAACATCAAAAGTGTCTGTAAAAATAGCTTTGTTAAAACAGAAACTGTAGGAAGACGGATGTCTGGAAATCAGAAGGGAAAAAAGTTCAAGTTTTACCAACAAATGAACTCAGAACTTGTTAGATTTCATAGATGAGAGGTTTATAAAAGTGAATCCACCTGTGCACTTGACTTGCATGGCTCACAAAGCTGAGTATACACTTCGAAGTTTAATTTTTCTGGGTTAGTTTTGGTTAAAGGAATTTTATCTGGGGAAATATGTCAATAATAGCAAAAAACAAAGTCAGTAGAGTTTATTAGCATTTCATTTGGGAGACTGAAAATCTGATTTGAAGCTTCACATTTACCTGGAGAGAAATCTCACTCTAAAATAACTTATTTCTGCCACTTGCTGGTCTAGTGCAAGGGCGGAAATTGTGGCTGTCATGCAGCTTAATTTCAGGTGTGAGCGCTTGCAAAAATTTTGACTTTTCTTTCCTCAATTGTACAGGCTGAAGGTGTTTTAGAGAGAGAAGAAAAGACCATTTGCATTAACAGTGGCTGTAAGTTACACAAAAGAATTAGATACAGATGATGTTTAGGGTAGGGTCAGGGGGTGTAAAGCCTGGTGTGAATATCTGATGAGTGCAGAGAAATACTTCTTAACATACAAACGTTGCTTTGGTTGACCAGAACTTGTCACAAATCTCTTCATCCAATACATAGCAAAAGACTCAGGAAAGAAAAATCATTTAATTCTAAATGCTTAAAAATTATTTGTATTACTTCTGTGTTTCAAAGTAGAATTTTTTAAATATTAAGTAGGCATCTATTACATTTACTAATAGGTCTTAAAAGTTATTAAAAACAAGCCTCATTTCAAGCTCAAAAATATTGCTAATAATTTAAAATTAAATTAAGAAAGATAAGCTTATTTCTTTTAAAAAATTTCCATTGAACTTTTCTGATAATATTTCTGTCGTAATTGCCATCAACTGTGAGAGCTTTAGTGAAAAGCATGTTCTAAAATTACACTGTATGTTTTTATGTTTAAAGAGTCTGGATGTAGATCTCTGTTTGCTATTTATTTACAGTAAAGTCCCATACACTGGACCTGAACAGACCATCTAATATGGTACCGGGTTCTGACAGTCGCGTCTTTGTTAGCCTGAAAGGTAAATGTAATTTTTTTGTCAATAACTTCTCCATAGGTGACAAGAGACATGCCCCTTTGTGCTGCTCGTTCCTCAACGTCAAGTCTGCATTCCCTCCTGGTTTTTCTGCTATGACTCAAACGGTCTGTGCTACTTGCCCAAGTCATAAAACAAAACAGCCCCAAGGCTGATCCAGTACCTGTCCTCTTTCTAATTACTCCTTCTCACTTATATTGGATATAATAGCTTTATGCGGTTCATCCTGTCTCAGTGTGCCCGGTCTAACTTCATGGGAAGGCCAGAGCAGAAGAGTTCATCTTCTCTAACAACCCCTCACTGTATGTGGGACTGTAGAAACCTGCTTTAGTCTTCAGAACAAGGATGCCAGACTCTGATGTATAAGTTCTGGAAAGTTCTCTTTTTCTAAAGAGAAGATATGTACCATCACATACTCATTTAATCAAATAAGCATATAAATACACATACTTATGCATACATATTTTTAAAAACATCTACCAGCAAGTACCCTTATTAATGATAACAACATTTTTCCCCAGAAAATGTAAAACAATGCATTCTTGACACAAAGGCTATTGGCCTTCATTTCAAATCCCTGTTCTAAAGTATGGGGATGCTTGAATTCATCAAATGAGTAAATTACAGAAAGGTAAAAAAAAAGAAAGAACCCAAACCTCTGTACAAAATATTTGGCATGATTAAGGCATGATCTTTTTGCCCTCTGTTGAAGGATCAGGTCTGGTTTGACAAGACTTTTCCAGCCAGAACCTGAAGCACCTGTCTTTCCCTCTTTCCTTACTTCCATGCCTCCAGTAGCCTCAGGACTCTTCCTCCTCCATGCTCCTTCAGTGCCCCAGCCTCGTTTCTCCAGCTTTTCCAGGGCCTGGCACCTCATCTTTGCTCTTCTCCAGCTTTACAAAGTTTTAACTAGCTGAAAACAGTGTTTAATAATGAGAAGTATCAGGCCATGTTTGAGTGTCAACCTATAGTTAGGATCACCTTTCTTCGTGTTATACGAGTCAACTTTAAATACGATATGTACTATGGCTTGTGTTTTTTACAACAGGGAATATTATGGACGAGTCTGTTGAAAATTGCCTTAGTCTCACTGGAGTTGAGAAACTTATTCAAGTGCCCACAGGCTGTGCAGAGCAAACAATGGTGAAAATGGCCCCTGCAGTCTACGCTATTGAGTACTTGGATGCCAGCGAGCAGTGGGTGAACTTTAGTCCTGAAAAGAAGGAAGAAGCCATTAACATGATTGAAAAAGGTACGCAGAAAAAAACCCCAGAGACCAACTGACATGGTCTTTGTTGTCCTTTTGCATTGCACACTAACCATGGCTATTTGCCAAAGGAGCGAGCGTTGTCTTAACACAGCCACGCAGAAATGCCTCTGATGATCTGCAGCCAGACATGAGAAACAGAACTGATGAGGAGGATTTAGGAGACTAATTGCCTCCATCTGACATTGTACAGTATTGACATTCATAATCCACCCTCTCTCTTGCCTAATTCAGAAGCAGACAGCAAAATGTGAGCAGATCAATGTCAACTCTTTTCAGAGTAAATGGACAGCAAAGGCCAGTTGTTAATTTACTCCTAATGTCAATGCGCAAAATATATCAAGATGAATTATGTCCTAAAAATGCCTATTTCTCCCCACGGATCATAGACAGTGCTTAGGATGGCCTCTCCAGATCTCTGCTGGACATGTCTGTAGTTGGCAAGAGGAGTATCGCTAAGGAAACTCCCAATGCTAACCATGACGTTGACACTTTCTCTTCCACACTCCTGTATTCATGACATGAGCTAGAATGACTCCAACAGTCTTGGGCTGACACAGGGAGGGAGTTTCCTTAGGGAGAGGATAGCTGCAAGGCTGCTTCTTGAAAAGCCCACTCCAAGACGTGATCCAAAGCCGGTGTTAAATGTACAGCAAATCCAGGATCACAGCATGTGGAAATGGAGGTGTTCCAGCTGACAGACACTAGCATAGAGCTCAAGAGTTATCAGTATTGTAGCAGGTACAGGTGATCTTTTGAACTGTAGTGGTGTGCACATGGCATAAAGCGATATAATGCACATGTCTTCGTGATCTTCAGACAACGTGACACACACATTTCATCAGTGAAAACTGAGGGTATAAATAGAGATCAAAAACATGCTAACAGTTGCCGAATGGAGCTCTTTTCCTATTTATCTAAGATTACCTAAAGTGACATGAGGTCCTGCTGATGAGTATTTGGTATTATCAGCAGCATTTAGTCCCTATATTATGCTTTTATTGATTCTTATCGAAGTTCACCGGGGTAGAAAACGAGTTGTGTCGCTACGATACAGACTTTGTCAAGATAATAGCAGTCCAGATCAGAGGTCACAACTCATGATTTCTAAGCCTATGTACGACACAAGAGATGATGTATATTTTTTGACTCCATGCACCAAAAAGCCAACAGCTTGAAAAGTTGTCAGTAGTGGTAAATAAGTTTCCCAAGATTCATTAGTTAGAAAATGCTTTGTAACTATAGATACCTGCAGTTTTCAGGTTATTCTCATGGCTCAATTAAGTCAAACAAGACAGAGCACTTTCTAAGCCTAATGCTTTTTCTGTGTCAAAGGCCTGCTGACTCAGTCATTTCCTCCTTAATGTACCAGTGAACACCTCCACGTCATCTTCCACTAGTCAATACTGAAGACGTCCATGTTAATACAAGTGTTATATGAAAATGCCCAAGAAATATGTGTATTCTACAGTTATGTGGTATCTTGTTCATGCAGGTTATACTAGACTGCTTGAGTTTCAGAAGTTGGATGGCTCCTATGGAGCATTTAAAACAACTCCCAGTAGTGTATGGTAAGGGTATTTTTGTTTGTTTGTTTTTTTCAAAATACTTCTATTATCATTTGATACTTGAGAAGTTTTTCTGAGGAGATGGGTTTCCAAAATCTGGTGGGCATGGTGTTGCCTATATGCTTTTGTCACGGATAGTCAGCCATGTAAGTCTCTGAGCACGTTTAGTCCTTGATGAAGGAGAATTATACTGAGGCGCTGACTATTTTGCATTTGCCACAGAGTAGAAATGTTCATGCTGATGTTGAATGATAACTCACTAGGCTCCAGTGAGTGCACTGTATTGAGTATGAGCCTATGTACAAAATGAGTATCTTTCTTTTCCTGTCAATATACTCTTCTATAAATATACATCAGCAGAAGTTTGGAAAATTTTCTTTTGTACAGGTTAACTGCGTTCATTGTTAAAGTACTCACAAGGTGCAGAGAATACATTAGTATCCAAGACAGTCACATACGCAACTCGATTTCCTACTTGATTAATCAACAGCAGGCAGATCATTCATTCCATGACCATCACCCAGTATTGGACAGGACTATGCAGGTAGGTCATCTGTATTTAGAAGAATCTGTTGCACCTTTAGGGCTGCTAGGGACTGAAAGGGATATTGTGAGTTGTTGAGTAACAAGAAATGTACCTAAAGAAAAGAAATCTATAATGTAAGAAGTACAAAATCTGTAATGTAAAATGAATTTGTTAAAAGGTCTGTTATGTCAGAGATGCATAGCTAGCACTTCACCACCTTTATCTTTTGATCCAGTCTTAGATAATTTTGCAGCTGACCTATGCCTCTAGAGCACTTCAAAAATTAATTCTGAGATCTTTGTGCTTGGTAAAAATCTATGCCTTGTACTGCCAGAGGCAATACAGCCATGGAATCATAATTTAGTTTTGAAGGGACCTCCAGAGGTCATCTAGTCCAACCCCTGCTCAGAACAGCTCTAGTTAGAGCAGATTGCACAGGGCCATGTCCAGCTGAATCTTGAGCACCGCCAAGAATGAGGATGCCAGAGTCTCTCTGGGTAATCTGTTCCAGTATTTAACCACTCCCATGGTGGAAAAAAAAAAATCTTAATATCTAATTAGAATTTACAATTGCATATGTTAATCTACACATCCCCTATAAGTGTCCAGAAAAACAGAATTGTTACACTGTTCATGCGTCTAAGATACAAAAATAACATGCATCTTCCAAAATTCACTGAAAATGCAGATACCTTTGTAGTGATCTTATATGAAAAAAAAGTATTAATTTTATTAATGATCTTTGTCAAATCACTAGTGAGGCTTTCACCCTCAAAGCCAGTTCCACAATTGATGTAACACAGTTGGGGAAAAAAAAAAAAAACAGTTCAAGAACTGGCCAAAGGTTTTTTTATACCTGTGTTCATGCTGAGATACTTCTATTTTACATTTGCTTCAGGAGCTGTGCATGATAATTTTGTGCAGAGATTTAAGTCTTTCCAAGCAAACAACCTATCCTTCTCCTAAGGACGAATATCTGGGGCTGAGTGAAGGAGAAGGTTATTGTCAAAGGTTGTTGAAGATCCTAAGGTTGTTGTCAAAGGAGAGCACGAGCAAAAGAATCACAAAGAAGAACAGGAATGAAAATGCAGATCTTCAGGGGAAAAAATCTAATGAGGGCACTGTGTTTAGTTTATCAAGAAGAGGAATAATAAATGATCTAGTGATGGTTTATAAATACTTTTATAGGAGAAAAGTTCTGTGTGTTACAGGGCTCTTCAGTCTATAGAAGGTAGCAGAGAAACAAAAAAAAACCCACAAACCACTAGTGCTTGGAAATTGAAGCCATGAATATTCCGATGAGAAATTGTAGATTTCTAACTATAAGTTAAATAATTAAATATTTTATTACCAGCTGAAGGTTGTAGTGGGTTCCTAATCTCTTAACACTGTTTAATGCAAACTGTTTGGCACTGTAGAGGACAGATTCACTTTAGGCGGACACAAGTTATTGAGCAAAACTAAGGGTAAAACTACATGGTCTGTGGTCAGATGGTTTGACAAGAAGGTCCTAGACTTCATGAAAAGTGATTTTCTAAATTTAATCATAAGCATATACATGTACATTTAACTTTTCCTTTTCATGTTTCATCTTTCAGGGTGGCATCCAGTCAGCAGAAGAGGATTTGGCTTTGACAGCCTTTGTAACTATAGCATTGCAACAGACTCTACAGGTCTACGAGTCACCTGATGTGGTAGGAAGTCTGACTGTTTATCTTTAAGTCTGAAGGCTATTGCACAATAGCATGTCCACCCTACTATCTTGAAGTACTGCAAATGAGGAGGCAAAAGTCTGTTTACACCTGTGGTGGACAGGAAAAGATGCTGTGGCCTAATGTACAACAAGGTGTTTCAAGATACACACTCCATCATCAATGGCTTTAATCACTAAGCAAAAATTATTAAAATTCTCCCAAGAATGACTACAGTGATGTATTCTAATTTCCTAGTACTCTCACCAGCAGTAACATTTAGTAGGTCTGAATGAACTTTTCAAGTGAATCCATTCTGTTTTCGCAGGTAGAAGTGGTTAGAACAGCAGTGGCTTACATGAAAAACCAACTTTCAAGAAGTGTTAACTGCTATTCTACAGCAATCACTGCTTATGCTCTGACGCTTGTGCAGTCTGATAGTGAAGAAGCCCAGTTTGCGAAAGAAAAATTAAGAGACTGTTCTGTTTTTGATGCAGGTACTGGTAACCATTCTTAAAAATTCAGTTAGAAAGCACTTCTCCTAATTAAGCACTTTGGGCACTCTTAGATGAACAAAACAAAGTCATGCAAGTGAGGACAGTTTTATAAAGTGTGTATGTATATGTGTAATATACTTAATTATTTAAATTGCATAAAGATTTATATGCTGAAATTGTAATATGTAATTTGTATAATTAATATCACTATAAAGTAACAACTTAGCATTGTGAAGTTTGGATCGTGACCTTATCTGATACTGGAATTCGAACATAACCATGGTAAATAGTCATTTACCTTTTCTGCTTCCGTTGTCACCTACCAAATTTTCCACATCCCTCAAATGCATTTAAAAAAAAGTCCAAGCCAGCTGAGAAAGAAGAAACTTTTGATGGGTTTTGATGGGGAATGAACAGCTACATATGGGAGTAGTTCAGACAGGATTTAGGATTAAGAGGGACGGTGTCTTTTCCAGCCCATCTGTTTTCAAAGCCCTCCTGCCAGTTCTGAGCACTTTGTTCCAGCTCCACATGGATGTCACATCTTCCCCCCCCCAGTGTGTGGCTGTCATTGGTGCCACATCAGTTGGTTGTATTGCTGCACTGTCACACTATTAATTTCTCCCAATCCATTTGATAAATACGTTACGGCTTAATAGCCATAGTTTAAGCATAGGGAATATGCTTTTCCTCAATCACGACTGGACTTACGGGCAAAATTAATACTATTATCTCTTGGGGACCACCAGACACAATACTACCACTCCATCAGACGGACATCACTGTACAATGGGATCATTAAACCATGACAGTTGGATAAGTCATAATTGAAAACTGTAGTTTTCCTTTTCCATTATCTCTGCTTCCCAACTGATTTGTTGCTTTCATGATGGTATCTGTGTCTTGTGGTTCCTCAACACTATGACACGAAATATCTGCTGTGCAGAACAATAGTCATATTTGGCAAATGTCTTTACGAAGGGGATTCAAGATTGAGTTATTCTTGCAGCAAAGCGGCAGCGCTACTGGGGAAATGGCAACGATGCAGTCTCAGTGGAAACCACTGCCTATGCATTGCTTCAAACATTGCTCCTGAAAGACATGGAGTACGCAAGGCCTATCGCTACGTGGCTGACGGAAAGAAGGAACTACGGTGGAGGATACTGCTCTACACAGGTACCTGACCACCAGATCCGGGTGGAGTTTCAGGAGGAGGAAAGAAAACAGAAGTCTCATAAAGACTTTTTTCATTTAGATTTGAAAGCATCGTAACAGTTAGTCCTGAACTTCAGTGGTGTATGAAGCGCTAAAGATTTTGGTGTGTTAATAAAAAATAGGCCAGGATAAAATGGTTATAAGACAGCAAAGATTCTTCTTCTTTATGAAGACTTATGATAATCAAGGTCAGAACTCCAGTGGTTTTAGGTTTTTAATGCTAAAAGAAGCAGCTGGGAAATGAAACAAATAGTCTGTACAGGTAGGAACAGACAGATACAGGAGAACATCAAAGCAGCAAAAACCATAAAACTGAAGAATAGTTCCAGGTGACTGATCATGCCATCTTACACAATGTTGAAATAACCTGGCATAATTGTTAGCTTTTTTGCATTTCTTTCTCACCTAGGACACAGTGGTGGCCCTAGAAGCTCTGTCAGCATACAGCATACAGACATTTAACACTGTTTCCTCCAACCTGACTGTAAAACTGGGAACGCCTGGAAAACAAAAAGACTACAGTATTACTCTGACTGATGCTGATGAAGCGATTCAGAAGCAGCTAGAGGTACACGACCATCCATCATTTCAAGCTTTTTTTTGTCAAACAGGAGAAACATTGCATCATCTAACCTAAGTTTTCTCGTGTTAAGCAATCATGACGTAGCAGGTTTATAGTATTTTTTAATAATTTAATCTGCAAAACAATATAATATTTTTGAAGAAAAAAAAATCAACAGATGTTTGGCAGCAGACTTTAGAGGCCCTTTCCTGCCTTTTCAAGGACTTTGGTGATGTGAATTCCCCCCCCAATAATGAAGAGCAGCCAGGAACCCAAGTCTTGCTAGGGAATGAAGAAGAAGGGGAATATTCTGACATTCAGTGTGTTGGGACCTGTGCAAATGTCAAATCTAGGCTACAGAGGAAAGAGTTTTTTTTAGTGAAGTTGGAAAAATACATCTCCTGGGCCTCAGAACAGCAGAGTAAGATGCACCAGCCCAGCACATTAAAAATCTTATGAGACACAAGATATTATAACTTCTTCCATAGCTAAAGGTTTCCCTAATCCAGTTCTGAGGGATAAAGGCATAGAAGACCGTCAAGATCACAGGAAAACAATAGATCAAATGCTGAGCACAGACTAAATCACTAAATCTCTTGTCTGTTTGTTGTTTTTCCTTGGTTTGCAGTTTGAACTTGGAAGAAAACTTGAAGTGTCCGTACATGGCAGAGGAAATGGGACAATGAGTGTAAGCTGTAAATCAGAAATTCAAAGTCCAACTGGACTTCTTTTATTCCCTTTTGAAAACAAAGTGAGGAATTACTCGCCATGTCTTCATCCTTTGTGTTTCCTGTCTCCAATTTTCTAAATATAGGGGCCTACTGCCCTGATGGGCAGTCAATTTCTCCTGTTTTTAACTTTGTTAATCAATGCTGATAAAGGAGGCTGGAGTTTGAAAGACCCCTTTGCGGCTGGGAATGGAGAGTTATCTCAAAGGTCCCATACCATTTGTGATTTGTACATGGGACCTCTCCTACTTATATCCACAACAGTCCTCTGCAACTAGTCTGTGCCTTTGGGAGACTGGTGTTTCTTTCCACAATCCCATGTCCCATCAACATTTCCTGAAGTCCTGGATGAGTAAATCCCTTATCATTTAAATGATACTTTTAGTGGTTTGCTCTTTGCATGTTTATTTTAGATATTGAAAGTGTACTGGTCTTCTGAGCTGAAGAACAACACATGTAATGATTTGACTTTGACGGTGGAAATGGAAGGGAGCATTAAGTATACTGGTGAGTGAAAAGGGAAGTGGTGGGGTCTCAAAGGTGACACATTTGACCAGATGCTATGATACTTAATGGCTTTCCAGCCTTGGAAAGTGGGAATAAATGAATGAAACAAGGAATGAGAGAGACCTCTGAACTCTGCCTAGCTATTGTTTCATTCAGCTTATTAATATTTTTAAATGGTTTAATAATTGTCTGAGTGACTGTAGGTGCAGCAGGTACCTAACAGACACACAAGTACTATTGGTAATTCTTTGTTAATGGGAGGAGAGGGAGGCGAACTCCCTTCACGGTGTTCCTGGTTGCCATGAGAGGAAAGCCCAGCTCAGTTCCCCGGCTAGTAAGGGACCTTACCATGTGGCCTTAAAAATTCTTTGAGGCAGATCTGTCATAGGTTTTTCATATGAGCAAGGCTCTGTTTTCCACCACCTGAAGTGTGTATTTATCATCCTCTCTTCCTATGTCTGCGTTTCTTTTCTGTTTAACTAGCTAACTTTTGGAGGCAGGGATTGTCCTTTACATATTTATGCATAGCCTGAACCCCATTCCTAGCTAGAACTGTTGGTTATTCTTACTATAATTATCCCTAGAATTTAAACTATGAATGAATTAGAAATACTGAGATAATGTACAGCAAACTTTTATAAAACCCGTAGAGATGGCACGACTGCCCACTGTTATTTATCATTATACAAAAAGGAGCCAAATTATCAGGACCTCAGTCAAATTTGTGCATGGTTGATCATGTCTGTCACCTCCAGAAGCCCCATACTCTGATGAAAACTATGATTATGAGGACTCAATTGCTGCAGAAAACAGCGCGTTTGAGCCACTGTCTGAAATAGAGTGGTTTGACATCCACAGCAGAAGGAAAAGGGATGTGATCTCTCCCAGCAAAGCAGAATCACTGCAGTACAAAGTCTGTGTCAGGTAGGTCTGCAAGATCAGCTTTTCATTAGAAAATGCCTTCATTTCTGTTTGTAATTCTTCTTGATCATCCTCTTCATATCCGCAAGCTCGGCATCCAACCCGGTGATCTTCTGTGAGTATGCATAGATGGTGAGTCTCCGACCTCTCTCCCGTTTCTGTTTGTAATTCTTCTTGATCATCCTTTTCATATCCGCAAGCTCGGCATCCAACCTGGTGATGTTCTGTGAGTATGCACAGATGGTGAGTCTCCGACCTCTCTCCCATGGCAGGAGAAAAGGTTTCCACACAATGTATTCAGTTTAGACGGTTCACGTAGACATCAAATGTCCATTGCAGATTCTGCCCCATCAGACTGTGGGGACACTCTAAAGTGCCTGGCTAGCTAATCATTTGAAAGATGCCTTTTATTAAATAAAGTAGATATACTTGGAACATAATAATAACACATTAACTGAGTTTCCTTGCTTTTTGGAGAGATGCTGTTACTTCCTTCATGGTCACACTCTGGCCTCATTAAAAAGAGAAGATGTTTACTACTATTTGGGGGAGGAGAGGAGGCAGAGTAGATATCCTGTTGTGGCAATCAAGAAGTAGGCAAAGGCAGAGTTAGTGAGAAAGAAATCCTCCCGTGCCGAACAACACTGGAACATCTGCTTTTGCTCCCTTCCACAGTCCAGCAAGGGTCACAAAAGAACAAAGTGGTGGCTGTCCTGAGTTCCCCCTTCTAGAGAGGTGCAGGGTGGCAGAAGCAGGTTTTGCTCCCCAGTAGAATTTAGCTTTACCACTGACTTTTGACAAAGCCTCAGAGGCAGGGGCTTTTATCCCCCCTCCCAGACTGTGGCATGGGGAGGACTGGAGTTACTCTGATTCCCAGGTTTCACTCTCCCTCGTTAAACGTATTCAGTGAATTGTTTACTGGCTGAAGCACCATTTTTCCCATTAACTGCTATGTCATATTTATCAACTATATCATTGACATTGCTGAGTGTTAGGGTAAGGCTTAAACAATAATGGGAAGCTCCCTTTGTTGTAGTTAAGACACAGAAGAAAAGCTGAAGGCACTGACTACATCACCATACTTCTTCCCTGCACCATGGTACATCCCTTATGGGGAAAGGAGGGTGCCAAAACAAAAGTTTCTGAAGGACCACTAAGTGTATGTGGAATATCTTATGGCATGGCACCTTATGTGAGTGCAGAACAACTTCCTTTTCCAGCAATGACACAACTACCTCATTTTTGAGAAAATGGAAGTAGAAAAGAATGGAAGTCCAATATATATACCTAATAGATAGTCAGAGTGATGAGGATTTTTGCCTTGGACAGTAAAGGTGATGTAAATTTGACTTTGTCCCTGAAGAATTTGGATAAACTCATTTCCTATCTCCATTCTCTAGGTAATAGAGAACAGACGCTTTGTCAGTGCTGTTTACCTTCCCTATCTTCAACAGTGCTTTTATGGTGGGATGAACTGTCCTTTGAAGGTGATCACTCCTGCCTATCAGCTATAAAGAAAGCCTAGATGACAAGCTCAGGCAAGACACCTGGGTTTTGGATGACCATTTGACTAGTTTAGATGACTAATTTTGCCTCATGACTCTTAATGAGCTGGGCAGCTAATTTTCAAATTAAAGTCTACTTAGGAAAGTTAAACGGAGCAGAGTGTTTTGTTTCACCATTAACAAGCCTGAAAAGCCAAACTCTTCAAAGCAAGCTGGCTGTTCAGTGCAGATGTTTACTGCTGATTGTCTCCCATATAAAGGTCCACAGGTTCCAACACACCAAAGATGTCCTTGGTTGATCTCTCTCTGCTGAGTGGTTTGGAGCCTGACACAAAAGATCTTGAACAGGTTAGAAACACACTTTTCTGCACAATCTTTTATAGCTTTTTCCATAGAAAACTTATGGAATAAAGAAGGGAAAATGGATTTTTGAGAGATATATTTTCATTATTCTTGTTCTGATAAAATATTCGCTGAATGTATACAAGAAATGAAAAGCTTGTGGTGGACAGAGTTCACCTTTCTTAGTCCCTTGTAATAGAAATTAGGGCAAGGCTTAGCAGGGCACTTAAATACATGCCTGTCCTTAACACATATCGCTGTCTCCACTGGCACTATTGTCCTGCGACATGCCAGGACAGTGTGTCCTGTGCTTGCAGGTAGGAAGGCAAGCATTTCTTTTAGAGGTGGTTGATGGCAGGGCACACTGACAGGGAGATGGGGCACAGCGCTCTGCAAAGGTGGCTACAGAGTTTTGGGTTCTGGACCCTGCTTGGTTGGGGGAGGTTTGCCCAGGTTCATGGTCTTGGGGACTGTTTCCTTTAGGGAGGAAGAAAGAGGGCAGAACAAAGCAAACCAGAATATAGAGGGGGGTAGCAAAGCTGTTCGTGTTACGCCAAGTTTTTTTTTCTGATTTTTTGTTTGTTTTCCTGCAGTTGGTGATGTCTTCAGACCAGTACATTCAGCACTATGAGTACAAGGAAGGAAAGGTTTTGCTCTACTTTGGTGAAGTAAGAAAACCCAATGATTTTCCATTTCAGATGCCATTTCAGATAGCATATATAGACTTTTTAAACCCAATCATTATTGTTTTTCACACTCCATTACCTTCCTGTGACTTTTGTCATACATTATTATTGAGCAGCTCCGTTGAAAAAGGGCAGAGGAGGGGAAGAAGGGAAACATGCACTTTCATCCTCTGCTTTTCTGTGTTCCAGGAGATGTGGTCCATGTTTGAGATTTGGGCTTCGCCCCCCCCCCCCCCCAAAAAAAAAAAAAAAAAAGATAAATCATCTCTAGCCAGAAGAGAAGCTTTTCATCCAAGATTAACAAAGTGTTAACTCGTGGTCCTGTAAATTCCACATGGACACCTTGCTTGTTAAGTTCAGTATTTCTGGATTGAGATCCATGTAGTGACAAACAAATGTAAACACTAAAACCCTCAGTTTCTGTGTATATTTCCTATATTTTGGATAATGACTCCACCCTACACCCACTTGAGTTGCTTCACCTCCACAGTCAATGCAGGGAATCCCTGTAGAAAGCACACACAAGGCAATGATTTTTTAAAATATAAGACAATAGACAAATGAAAAAATGTAAATGTTATTGCTGCTATGACTGTGCTAGATCATTTGTGTATTTAACACGGGTCAAAAGCTGTCCCTGACCTTAGCATTTTACTAAGGAACGTGTATATGCGGGCGGCCACCAGTACAGGATAGGCTGTGAACATATATTACACCCATTACTCCTGTGCAAGGTGTAATAGGCAAAAGCTGACAATTAAACCCCAAAGTAGTGGTGATGTGAGTCTGGATCAGCCAGTTTCAGGCAGAGAAGACCTGCACACATCTCACAAAACTACCTTTACCAACTTAGCTCATCCACAAAACGTTCCAATAAAATCATGGAAGGAAATGCTTTCTTCAAGTTGAGGCAACAGCTCAGGATTAACTCACCTATGCCATCAGAAGCAAGAATTCAACAGCTAGTACAAGCACAAACGAATTAGGAACTGACTGGGAAGAAAGAGTTAGTTTACTCATCATAACTATTGGTTTTTTTCCCTCCAGCTCACAAGTGGACCAGACCCAGATTGTATATCATTTGGGGCAAAGCAAATCAATCCCATGGGCTTGGTTCAGCCAGCAAATGCCATCCTTTACGATTTTTACAACCCTGGTAAGGGCACAGAAAAATGATACATAACTGATTGAGAGACCCTCAAGAACAAACTCCAGTCTATAGAAAGGTGGTTTTGATGTAGTGTGTGAAACCACGTGATTTTGTCAAGTATTAAAATAATCTGCCTCAAATACTGTCTTCTACTACCATGGCTTAAGATCATCGAAATAGAGATCCTCTCAGGAAGAGTTCGTTACTGCAAATGGACTGAAAATACAAACTTTTACCCTCATGGATTTTTAAATCAGATTTCCTGAGGTCCTGTTTCTCACGGTGCTTTTAAGTATGTTCCACTCACATTATCTTTTCGGTCAGGCTGTCTTTCTATGCATCTAAAGTAGGCAACCGTGGAAGTTTGGCTTATGTACTCTGCTTGCTGGGGGAATC